ATATCATCTCACACCAGTCAGAATGGTGATTATTAAAACATCAGAAACAATAAATGCTGGTGAGGCTGTGGAGAAATAGGAATGCTTTTACACGGTTGGTGAAAATGTACATTAGTTCAACCATCATGGAACACAATGTGATGATTCCTCAAGGATCTAGAACCAGAAACGTATTTTGACCCAGCAATCCCATTACTGGGAATATACTCAAAGGAATACAAACCATTCTACTATAAAGACACATGGACATGTATGTAACAGTTTGTTGCAACACTATTTACAATAGCGAAGAAATGGAACCAACCCAAACGCCCATCAATAAGACTGGATAAATAAAACCTGGTACATACACACCAGGGCATATTATGCAGTCATATGAACAAATAAGATTATGTCCTTTGCAGGAGCATGGACTAAGCTTGCAGTCATCATGCTCAGCAAAGAAACACAGTCACAGAAAACCAAAAATCTCATCTTTTCACTCACAAGTGAGAGTTCAACAATGAGAACACATAGACACAGAGAGAGAAACACACATCAGGGCCTGTTGTAAAGTGAGGGAAAGGGAGGGCGCCTAGAGGTTGGGTCAATACATGCAGCAAGCCACCATGACACACATAAATCTGCACATTCTGCACATGTATCCTGGAATTTAAAAATAAGGATTCAGTATTTCATCATTGCTGGGCATGGTCGTTCACTCTGTAATCCCAGCACTTTGGGAGGCCGAGGTGGCTGGATCATCTGATGTCAAGAATTCGAGATCAGCCTGACCAACATGGAGAAACCCTGTCTCCACTAAAACTGTAAAAACTAGCCAGATGTGGTAGCCGGCAATCTCAGCTGCTTGGGAGGCTGAGGCAGCAGAATGGCTTGAACCCAAGAGGTGGAGTTAGCAGTGAGCTGAGATCACATGATTGCACTATAGCGTGGGCAACAAGAGCGAAACTCTGTCTAACAAAAAATTCATTGTTAAGAAAGTCATTTTTTTCTTGTTCTTCTCCTTCTCTAGGATTTCTTCTCTGATAAGATTCTCTGGACAAATTACACCTGCATCTTGAGAATATGCTTTGAGTGGTGTTAGCACCATATGTTTACCTGCTGCCACCACACCCACAGGCAGAAGAACCAAGACCGAAAAACTCCAGCCATTTCTGTACTTTGTAACAGAAGAAATTTAGGAACAATAAGCTGCTCCACAGGTAAAAAATATATGTTTCTCCTTTCCAGTTCTTGGTTGCCCTCCTGTGCCAGCAATTTCTCCTACACTAATGAAAATGTGAGCCACAGTGCCTTGTCCCTATGAAACCCAAAGAAAAGAGGCTCTAGGACCACTCTT